TAATAATTTTTTTATAATTAAGCTGATCTTTTAGCCAAACAAGATACCTCTAAACATCTAATTAAATTCAATTTTATAATACAACTTCCTTGTCCTAAAGTAATTTTTTAATTTTTTTATTTCCTAATTTTTTACAAAACATAACTATATAATTACTTTTTTTCTGGTTATAATTCAAATCTTTTTAAAACTCATTCTTTATTAAATGGTCAACAAATGTTGATTTAATAAATTTTCTAAACAATAATTAAAAATTCTATGTATTCTGTCTTAAAATTATTAATAGCAATCTATCTACTATACAAAATCTTAATTTACAATATTTTTTCTTATATATTATTTCAAATTGTATCTATTATTAAACTTCTGAAAATATATTACATCTTCTTATATATTCTAAACAAAAATATAACCTTTAATAAATTCTTAAACTTTAATTTTAAATACTACTTAATAATTAAATATCTTTTCTGAACTTACAGATAAAATCTATATTATCTTGTTATAATAATTAAGCACTTTATTATACTTTTATTTTTTTAATCATCTCAATATAACAATATTAAAATATTACTTTATAAAACAACATCATCTTTCTTTATAACTCTATTAAATACTTTACTAAATTAGTTTTATCAATATATATTGCTATCATACAACATTCTTTAACAAAAATAAAAAAAGTTTACAACATAACTAACAAGTATAAATATTTAAAATATATTCCTTGGTTCTACTTTCTTAATCTAATTTTAATATTACTAATACACCTACTATAAACTTAACTATATCTATTAATAACTAGTTAATTCTAGACTACATACTTCTAATTGTATTTACTAAATACCAAGACTATTATTTTAGGTTTTCTTTAACCTTTCTATATTTAAAATTAATTTGAAATAATTAATAATAATGTTATATAGAAATGAAGATATAATGTTATATTGGATATCTTAAATAAATAATATAAATATAGTTAGAAATCTTTAATATAATTACTCTTATTATCTAATAAAGTTTTTACTTTGATATTTCAAAAAAAAAATTTTTATAAATAAGATTAATAATTTAAATTAAATTAGAGATATTTTAAAAAATATCATTTAATCTAAAGCAAGATTATAATTAAATATAAAATTTTATAAAAAGTTTATATATAAATATAAATTTGAAAAAAATTTTAAAAAAAAATTTGATTAAAAAATAAAAACATTATATATAATAAAATTACAAAAACTCTAGTAAAAATAGTACATTGTAAAATTATAATAATTACTAACTTAAAAATCTCTATTTATAAAGTATTTTAAATTGTTTTATATAATATTAAACAAGAACATTATTAAAAGAGAGCAGATTTGGCAAAGCATATATTTTTATTAGAATGTATATGTATATTTGTCTTTCTCTTTTTTATATACAGATATTTGTGCTTTATATACTATTTATATATTTGCTATATACAATAATTATGCTAGTTATTTTATTTATACTAGTTATGCTACTTATACTTATTATACTATTTTACTATATATGCTAATTATACAGTTTCTGTTAAATATATTTGTTATGCTATTTTTATTAAATATTGTGATACCAAAATATCATAAATAATTATGTAAAAAATGCACAAAATACAATAAGTGCAATAAGTACAATAAGTTATATTTATAATTAAAAACAGTATTTGAATTCAAAAGGATAAATAAAAATAAAATAAAAAATAAAATAAATACTTATAAATAGCTTTAATTAGTTTTAATAGATAATAAGTGTAAAATTATATATGTGAGTGATAATTTAGTATTATAAATAAAAGCCTAAATGGCCTTTAAAAACAGTATGCTTTGTTTGCTTTATTAAATTATAAGTTCTAATACATTATATGTCTATAATAAAATACTAATAATATAGCTAGTACAAACTCTGTAAAATTTATAAAACTTTATTATTTGTTTGAGTTCTTTATTACAAAACTTATTCTACTTGAATTATTAACCCAAAGTAACTAAAAACCTTAATTACCTACTAGCCAAATCTAACATTTTTTTTATAAACGTTATTTATAGTATGTTATATAAGATTTTGGATTGTGAAGTAATTGAGTTGCAATCTTCTAAACACAATAATATACTATACATTTACTAATTATATTAAACAAATTGTTATATAGTTGATCTACTTTAAGTTAAATGCATTATTAATCAATTTTTAGTCATTACAACATATATATAAGTTATTAAAAAAGTCTTATCTGATTATAATAATGCTCTACATAACTAAACTAAAGCAGTAAATATAAGAACAGTCAATAATTAAGAATTAGCTTTATTAGATTTAAAAACACCTTTAATAATAGATAAAATCCTACTTGCAATATAAAAAAGTAAGTGTATATGCAGATGAATAAAAGTTTGATAATGACATTTAATAAATATTGAACTAGTAATATAATAATATATACAAAAATATAAGTAACGCTGTAAGAGTACACTAACATTAAACATCACTTAATTAAATAAAAACTAAAAGTAATCTTGTATTACAAAGTTCTGCTAAAAATAATATATTACAAAAATAAAACCTATATTTTACCAATATACAAAAATTTTTGCTAATATATAATGTATAGCACAAAGGTTATTATTGAACATATAAGAACTAGAAGTGCCAGACCTAAAAGTTAATTGAGTTAAGAGTTATAAGATAACAGAATAAGCCTGTTGTATAGATAATAATTAGATCTTATAAAGATATAAACTAAAAGCTAGCTGACACTGCATCCCATATGACCTTCCGCATCAAAATACCTTCCTTGATCCATAGTGTAATAAATTGTATTTCGTGTAATTTTCATATGACTGATCGTCATGTTATGCCGAGCTGTTCTGGTGCTCATAATATGCAACCTAAAATGACCATGCCAAAAAAAATCGAGATTTTGTAATCTGAACTTTAAGTTGAGTTCTGGTCCAATTAATTATGTTGCTCAGATTGTAACTTTGTACAATATTAGCAATATTAGTTAGCTTACATTAGGCTTGTATTAGTGCTTCGCAGGTCCGATTCAAAGTTTTAATCTGAATCATTCGATTGAAGCAATTTTATATCAATAATAATGCAGGATCGGGTATGACGTGAAAGTCGTCGCTAATTCCCCGACAGTTTAGCATTTAGTTAGCTATAGGTCTATTTTATTAGTAAATTTTCACCTCATGCGATGTCGGGTAAATAGTCTTTAGGGTAAGTAGTTTTCTGGGAATCGTACGTGAAAACAAAACAAACCGCTTATTAAAAATAATCTATAACTCAAATTTTTGATTATAAACTACTTTTCTCGTCTTAATAAAAACAATTCCTTACAAAATTTTGCTATATGCAGTATCCTTTCTACTATCATTCTGATGTTCACCCTTACTCTAATGGCAAAAGTTTATTGTTTAATCGAAAAATGTGTTGACAATATGCGGTTTTTTTTGGCAAATAAAATTTTAACGTAGATTATGCGGTTATTATATACAACCCGTAACCACCTATATTTGTATGCCAAGATTCGACCTACGCATTCCAAATAGACTACATAATCCGTTCTTGTATAAATTATCAGCCTAATTCTAGTAACGTGCAGCACCATTGTTCGATAACGACTCTAATTAATACGACATATGACCTAATTTGTTGCAATTGGGCCCGGTATCGGTATAGAATCACTAAATTTAGTTTAAACCCCTTATTTTATTTTTTTTGATTGGTCCGACGAATGATTAAAACGATTCTTTTGATTTATTGAGGATCCATTTTGCACTATTATGCAAGAAGGATTTAATGAAGGTCCATCAAACCCATTAGATTATCTTAAAACTCACTAGATAATCTTAAAACTCACTAACTTATCTCAAAACCCATTAGATTATCGTCTAATTATTACCTGAACTAGTGTTGTTAGTCGAAATTATTCAAACATTTTGACATTTAGACAAATTGAATTTTGTCAATTTTGACTTTGTCATTTTTTTAAAAATTACTATTAAAAAATAAATAAACCATAATTTAGATATTTAGACATTTAGACAAAAGTAATTTAACCAAATTTTGACATTAGCAAAAACAATTTTGACTAACAACATTACCTGAACCCATTCAGACATGCCATTGGTCATTGTTGTGTACTCATAGACTGAAGTTCGTCTGATTGGCTAATAAATTCAATTTAATTTTATATTATACGTAGAGTTTAGAATACTGTTTAAAAAACACAAACTAACCATAACAAAGTAAAAAAAAAACCCCCATATAGAAGGTTCATTAAATTTGTAGGGACTCCATAGTCAAAAATAAGATCTAATTCTCGTCCGTTTAAAAAAATTGGCTTTGTAATAAGTTATTTTTATTGGGTTTTGCAAATTTATTACCATGTTAACTTTTTTAAATGGACGAGAATTGGATCTTATTTTGGCTACGAAGTCCTACAGCTCTAATGATACCTTCTATACGGCTTTTTTTTTCATTATAATTAGTTTTCGTTTTTTTTAAAAAAAAGTACTCTAAACTGTATAATGTAAAATTAAATAGTCAATCAGACAAACTTCTGCTTATGACCTTTCGCCCTAAAAATGATATAGTTAATTGTTTAGTGAACCGTCTGTCAGATAATTGCATTGTCATATAACTGCATAACTTGTTCCGCTATCAAAAATTTTCGGGGTACAGGGTCCCATCTTCTGCATAATGATACAAATTTTTCCATATGACGAAGAAGCATCCTAACATCGTACATTTATGTCTGTGGACCAATACTAAATTGGCGATAGTTAACAAAAATTCTCTCAGGTCCACAACATAACGCATACTAATATTTTCAAAAGCGTAACAGATAATAAATATTTATAATTATTTGTCTTCATAATTTAACGTTGCATTTTTTAATAATATCACCAATAAAAATTCGTTAGTATGTCTTATCACTTTATTTTAAAGCACTATATCTTTAAAACAACATGGAGCCATATCTTCTTTTAATATTAACAAGTAGAAAACTTTTGACTTTTTCTTTTTTCATCATTTTAAAAACAATTCAAGTAAAATCTGGACCAGTATTTAATACTTGTCTATCTTATTCATTTGCAACCAATAATCCCTATAATTCCTTGCTTAATTATGATTTCACTAATGATATTGTTATAAAAGGTGATCTAGCTAATGTGGATTTAACACAAATTTGCTGTTCTAGTTTTCAATGTTCATAATAGCCATGGCTCTGGAATAATTGTACTTCAACAGACAGTACACTTGTATCTAATAATTCAACATTTCTTTGCAATAAAATTGCATCAGAAGATATTTTTTGTTATAATGGTGATGGAAAAACGTGTGCAGGTATTGTTGGGAATTATAAACCTACTAGTAATATTACATTAGGAAATTGTACAGGAAAAAAAAACCTTGATGGTGTGGCAAATTACTTAGCAACCATTAATTTAAAAGATGGAAATACTGGTTTTGTTTCGACTTTGAATGTTGGTGGGATAATGAAGTTTGGACATGTCATAACCCTGATTATTCACATATTAGTAGTTATACCAATCAAAATTGTTTTATGCAAATAATTTTAAGTTCTTCACCAACAACTTCTACTTCCTCATACATTCCTGGTTCTTCACCTATTTCTGGTTCCTCCGTGAATACTTTTGTGTTTTTCGCTTGTTTGATGGGAATTGTTGGAATTGCACTAGTTGTTTTTTTTATGTTTTTTTGTTTACGGTGTAGGTCTAATAAAATTATAGAAAACCGATTTGCACAATATTTTTATCTAGAATTTTTTTAAAATGGATACCTCAGGCGCCTTTATTTCATTTATAATTATGTAAAATGCAATATTAATTAATGAAAAATTATAATTAAATTGCGCTTAAACACTTTGAACAGAACAAATAGCCCTGATTATCAATAATTTATTATATTTCTATATCAAAAAAATTTTAATACAATGTTCTTTTTGAACCATACTTAATGATGTGCATTTTCATGTTTTTTGGATTTTTTTAGCGTACAGTATGTACAGTACGTATAGCTGATTTTAGCGTACAGTACGGATTAAAGGTTACTCATTGTTGAATAATTTAATTCATTCCCAAACTTAAGCAAATCACATCGGGATTTTTTAAAAAAAATTAATACTTTAAGTTTCAATGCTCATATCTCGATGAATTTCAAAGTTATTCTCATGATTAAGTAATCAAAAGAAAGCTTAGACCGGAAGCTCTCATTTGACTACACATTCATGAGAAGACCTTCGAAATTTATCAAGATATTAATGGTGGAATTTAAGGCATTAATTTTTTTAAAAATGTCAATCTGCTTGATTTCTATTGACGGCAACCCACATGTGTTTAAATTTTCCCACTATCAAGCCTAGCTAAAAATATTGACGCAAAATAACAAACAAACTTTGAATAGCTTATCAGAAATATATAAATCAACAATGTAAAATGAAATCCAGTAAAATAAAAATAAAAAAAATTGCAATATTTTATTTCGATACAAGCAGTGTTCAAATCATGATCTCAATAATAAATCTCATTTATATTTTTTAAATTTCTCGAGAATTTTACTTGTAATTTAAATGTTTGATACACTTCTTGATAATTAAATTAGCACTAGTGATATAAGGTAAAGGTTACAGTATGTACAGTGTCTAAAATTAAGGTGCGGAAGGGGCGGACCGCACATTGAAAAAATTATCCGCACCTTAAAGGCTAACAACATGGGCGCTTTGCGCACAAACATTCTAAAATTATGGACGGAATGCGCACATTAAAAATTTTAAATTCATATATGTTTTAAGCTTTGATGTGCGCTATATTTATTATGCAGCCAACTTGCTAATTAATTAATGATCAAAAATACATTTATCGTTATCAAAATTAATTATATGTTTGATTTTTATTGATATCGACATAAATCGATTTTAAAAAATGGACAAATTTGTTATAAGAGTAACTCAAAAGAGAACTGAAAATAATAATTTTGATGATACTTCATCAGATTCAGATTCGGATTCCTCAGTTCAAAAAACTACACCAAAAAGAAAAAAACAATGAACTGATTGGGATGAAGCTTGGGTTAAATTATATCCATGGTTAGAACGTAGAATTGTAGATGAAAAAATACTTTTATTTTGTCATTGGTGTGTTGCTATTAATGCCAAGAATTTATTTGCAAAAGGATCTAATAGTTTTCGTAAATATTCACTTGATCGACATATTAAAATTAATGAACACAAACTAGCAGTTTTGGCATCTAGTAAAAATCAATCATCAGTGCTTCAAGGATTTACTAAAAGTTTGAGTGAACGAAAGTTTCGAATTATTGGATTTATGTGAAATGTGCATCATATATCTAAGAATCATCTTGCATTAGATTTGTTTCCACACTTATGTAATTTAATTAATTTACAATTGGAAACTCAAACAGAACTTAGATATGATCAAGAACCTAGTACAATTTTATTGTCAAATTCAAGCACTTTAATTAATAATTCAAGGCATAATACTTATGCGTCATATGAAAATCCTGTTTCAGTTAAATTATTTCTTGAAGCTATTAGCTTTGTTATTGAACAATCAGTAATTAAAGAAACAAACTTATCACCATATTGGAATATTATGATTGATGAAAGTACTACAATTACTGATAATAAACATCTTGCTATAGTTTCAAAGCACTTATCAGTTGATTTAGTAATTTTATGATATTTGGATATGATTGATCTTGAAGACTGTAGTGCTGCATCTATTACAGCAAATTTAAAACGATTTATTAATGTCAAAGCATTATCTTTAGAAAATCTTATGTATTTTGGTAGTGATGAAGCAAATACAATGCTTGGATGTAAAACAGGTGTTGCTGCACGATTAAAGTTTGAAAATCCATTTATTACACAAAACCATTGTATTGCACATCATCTTCATCTTGTAGGTCAGGATGCTGCTGAGAAAGTTAAATACTTTTTAGAATATGAAACAATTATTAAAGATATTTATACATATTTTAGTAATTCATACAAAAGATTTCGTCAATTAAAAATGATTCAAAATTATTTGGATAAACCAGAATTGATTATACTTAATATAGTTAAAACACATTGGCTCTCTTTTTCTAATATAATTCATAATTTTTATCAAATTGTTGATTCAGTTATGGGTGCTTTTTTAGAGGATGTTAATATAGAAAAAAAGGCCTTAGATATTCTTTTATGAATGGATGATAATTTTATTATTGCAACAAAATTTCTAGCAGATATTTTTTATATTCTCGAAAAACTGATTCGAGTATTTCAATCAAATTATATTACATTTGCTGATATTCAACGTCATATTAATATCATATTAATATAACTATCGAGGCAATTCAAATGCAATTTATTGGAATTGAAGATACATCACCAACATTTGGCAAACATTTAAATGACTATCTTGATCAAATGCAAATGACACATAATGATCTTCCATTAGATGTTATAACTTTTATAACAGATTTTGGAAAAACAGTAATTGAAAGTCTTAAAAAAAGATTTCCTGATTCTAATTTATATGAAGTTATATGAATATTGGATCCTAAAGAATTACCAAAACAAGATCGAGATCTTGTTAATTATGGTATAAAAGAAATTACCATACTTGGAGAATTTTACGGAGTATCAAAAACAAATGAAAATAAAGTATTTGAATTAATACAAGAATGGAGTTTAGTAAAACTATTTCTAAAGAATTATCGAGTTTTTAATTTTCTTGAATCTTGGGAACAAATTTTTACTCAAACTTCTTTTAAAATTGACTATTCAAATATTTCTTAATTAGTAACAATTTCACTTATTATTCCAGTTTCGAATGCTAATGTTGAAAGAATATTTTCTCAACAAAATCTGGTTAAAACACATCTTAGAAATCAAATGTCTTTAGAAACTCTTAACAATCACCTCATGATTATTATGAATGGTCCTTCTATAGATTCTTTTGATTTTGAAAGAGCTTATGATTATTGGGCACTTTGTATATATTGTTATTGACTTTATAATATAATATAGTTGAAAATTAATAAATTAAATTAGCTAGTTATATAATTAGATATATATAGTTAATAAAATATAAATACTATGATATATTTATTTTGCTGTTATAATAAAAATATATAATAAAGCTTTATTTGAAGTGATTTGCATTTCATACATTTAAAAAATTTTTAGATGCATGGCAGTGCATCAGGTACTAAATATAATGTGCGGCCCGCCCACAAATTTGATGCTAAATTTTAGACACTGAGTATGTATATCGTACCTGAAGTTGTGATTTATTCGGAGTTGCAACTTTAGGTATCTAAAGCAGCATCTGGCTAAAATTAAGTCACCGAAATTAGATTTTCGAGCATATAATTCTAGCTAGATGCTATTTTAGAAATCTAAAATGATAACTTCAGATATGACATGTATTCATAAGTAAATATTGTATTCATCAAGACTTATTTTTCATGAATTTGACTTTGGACTTTTCTATTTGGAGATTAAGTTATATGTAAGTCAAAAAAATTAAATACTTTAAATACATAATCCTCGTAATCATTCTATGAAATTTCTTATTTTGAATCAAAGCCGGTACTTCTCACTTCATCAATAGTTATTTTACTGAAATCATATAGGGTTAAGATTAATATTTAATTATGATGGCGATTAAATGAGTTGTCAATAAGATAATTATCGTAGTATATATCCAGAAAGTTTTCATATAGATATGATGCAAACTACAAAGTCTATTATCCATAGTACGAATATTCTAAAAGCATTAAAATAACTTATATAAATTTAAAATTGTGAAAGTTTTTATTTGGAATTTGTAACAAATATATTAGGTTTTAATAAGATCAATCAAATTATATGCTGTAAATGTAAAACTGCAAGTTAGTTGCTTCACACTCATAATGTTTATACTGATTATTTTAATTATACCCTTGATCCTGCTGATATCCTGACACTGTGAATACAGTATATACTGCCGGTAAACCCATTTTAGGTAGGCGATCGACATAGCCGTTAATTCATTACTGTGCCACATCAATCAGATTACAGTCCTGCGGCTCACACCAGTGTTTAAAATTCAAAAAAAAATTTACATACATAAATGTATTTTGTGCATCTTTTTTTAAAAATTTTACATGCACACTTAATAAATTTTTAAAAAATTCAAAAAAATCCAAAAAAATTTCATGCACATGTGCATCTTGTGCATGTCAATTTTAAACCCTAGCTCACACTAATTAAGCAATGAACCCCAAATGGCCAGGTCCTACAACACATATAATGTTAAAAATTTCGGTGATAATATAAAAATTAATTACATGGAAACATTTAAGATTTTGCTAATGCCCACCTTTATTAATGAGAGACTCACATAGTTAGAGATGGTAATGCGTGGGATTTTTAATGAGATTATCTGGCCTGCATTAAATATCATCCGGCCTGCATTAGCATATCATCTGGCCTGCATTAAATATCATACGGCCTGCATTAATATTAATTAGCCAATTTCTAAGACTGGGGTAAAATCGCCACCCAAAAAAGTTTCGAACGCACGTAACAAATATATCAAGCACTAAAAATTCATGTAGCTTAGCAAAAAAATACAAATAAAAAAATTTAACCGATAAGAAATCAATCATTTTATTTATTTCAAATAACTCAATAAACATATTTTTGTCCCTCATCGAGGGGTGTTACCAAAGAAACTATGAAAAACAATTATGGGTATTCTGTCTCTCCTGCCTTTCGTCAACATCCAAATATAGCGCAGAATTTAAAAAGCATCGATAAAAAGTGCAGATTAACATTACGTTCTACTAATCATACCTACCCGAGCATAATATTTGCAGCTACGCAAATATTCACTCCTTTTCTTTGTGACTGTCGTCCCGACAGGCCACCCACTACAAAATTTGCACTGAAGATTTGACTGTCATCTCAACAGGTCAAATCTACTGATAGACATACATATAAAGCTACGATGTTTCCTGTGACTGTCGTCTCGACAGGCCACCTAACTGAAGCCAACCCTAGCCTGTCCTCTGCCAGGTCGAACCCTGCTACGATTCACAGAAATTTTTCACAACGACCTTTGGTTAGGTACATACAAGGGTGGGTAAGGGAGGGACGAAAAAACCAGACAAAGTCGGGTTAGCAGAAAAAACAGAAACTACTATATCTAGA